TCTGAAGTACTTAGATTCCAATTTTCATAATATCTTTTAACCTAATAAATAGCTATAGACTTACTATAACGTATCTATTTTATAATAAATCTAAAACTAAACTTTGGACTAGCTAGATATTTATGTAAAAAGACAATTTCATATTATTTCTCTAAAGAAAGTTCTATTTTTCAAGCGAAAGTTTGATGATCATCTAAATTTTTTTTTTGTATTATTGACACTTATAAATTTACAGGTGATCATGTATTATGTTACATTATATTTCTAGAAAATTTAAGGGGTAGTTATATAATAATTTTGGATGATCTCAGGCGGTCAGATACTTATGACCGCTACTGTATTTGTTGATTTCTTTTATTTAAATTTCCATATAATATTTATATATATTTATCAGTTATTTTTTTTTTCTTTTTTTATCTAAGAATTCTTTAACTAGTTATTTATTTTTTTAAGTTTTATGACTAATTTTTAATATGCATTACATTTTAGTTATTGTATTACATTTTAATTATCATATTATATTTCAGTTATTGTATTTTATATTTTTTTAAATAATTTAGTTAATTTTTTTTTCATTATTATGATTTGTCTTTACTAAATATCATATTATTTTTAGTTAATTATTTTTTCATAATGACCTTTTATTCAATTAGTTGTTTTCTAATTTCTTAATATTATAGTTCCTTTAATATTATCCATTTTGTTAAAATGAGTTATATAATATGTTATTTTAAAATTTTTTGACTTTATAATATATTTATATAGATTATCAATAACTTATTATTATAAAGTTCATTTACTAAGCCTTTTACATTAAATTTTTTACTTTTTTTTCAGAAATTACATTTTATTTTTTTTTAAACTGTAAGATATATTTATGATAACTAAAAGTTTTAAATTAAATTTTAAAATTATTAAGCTCTTTAATAATTTCTAAATAATCCATTAATATAAAGGCATTTAAATCTATTAAATTTTATATATCATCTTCTTCATTATTATTTTCTTTTTCATAGCTTTATATTAAAATATATTTAACAATTTGTATGATTTTATCTGTATTTTCTATTCTATAATAATATAATTTTTAAATTACAACTGCTAATTTTTGTTAATAATTTAATAGTATTAAAATTAAATTATATATATCTCTTTTTATATATTTATCTAATAGAAAACTTTTTTTTATATGCAAATAGCGTTTAATATAATTAAAAAAGTTGAATTATAAGATTTTGTAATTATTTTTGATTAATAAAATAAATATAGTATAGTGTTTTATAAAGTACTCTAGATACTAATTGTTAAACTTAGGTTGACTATAAATAATACCTCTAGGATACTGTATACAGTCAACTCTTGTTATAACGAACTCTATGTCTTAGACCTCAACTTCGCTATAAGGCTATAGTGAAGATTTTAAGAGATTTGATTGGCCAATTCGCTATAACAAGAGTATTTTTATTATATTTGTTTAAAAAATTCATTATATTAAGAATTGACTGTATTTTTAATTTTTTATTTTAGTTATTATTAAAATTTATATAAAAAACCTACTTTGTTTAATTGTTCAAAGCATAAGTATAAAATACTTTTGATTAGAGCTGAAATCATACATATAGTATCTGTTTATATGTGATTATTTACCCTAGTATTACTATAAATTTATAAATAAAAATTTTATCTTCACGTAACTAGTAATATAAAGTTCTGAATAATTTAGTTCAATTCAGATTATTAATCCTAAAAATACTAATCTGAATTTGAATTGAATTGCAGACCAGTAAAAATTTGAACTGAATTAGAATTTTTAGATTAATCTAAAATTACAGTTCGATTATATGTAAATCTCAAAGAAAATCTGCAATTTATATGTAAAACTTTAAGAGAATAGCAAACAATCACAAATTTCTCTTTAAGGTTCACAAAAAATTGCGAAATTTAAAGAAAAAATCACAATTTTTTGCTATTCTTTAAGGGATTTGTAATATTATTTGTAAAATTTGAAAAGATCACAAAAATTTATGATTTTTTAAGATTTTTATATTTTTTTGTAAAATTAGAAAAATCACAATTTTTTGTGATTTTCTAAGTTTCGCTAAATTTTATGTTCCTCTTAGAGAATTTGTAAATTTTTGTGATTTTCTAAAAGTTTTACAATATTTTTGTGAAATTTGAAGAGAAATTGTAATTTTTTTGCAATTCTCTAAGAGTTTCATAATATTTTTTGTGAAAATTCAAAAAGAAATCAAAAAATTTGCAATTCTCTAAGAGTTTTGCTATATTTTAAAGAATTTGCAAATTTTGTGATCCTTTAAGAGTTTCACATATAATTAAACTGAACTTTTAGATTAATCTAAAATTTTCAGTTCAGTTTAAATTTTTTTCAGTTCAGATTAGAATTATAATTTGAAAAAAATCTGAACTGAATTGAAAATTTTAAATTAAATTTTATGTAATCTGAAACTGATCTGATCTGAAAAATCTTCAGATTAATCTGAACTATTCAAAGCTTTATAATGATATATAATGAGCATAAAAAAAATATTTTCATCACTTAAATAATTCTAAGTCTCTAAAAAGATAAAAAATTTTATAATAATACTAGATAAGATATATGTAATCATCTTCCCCAAAAATATTATTAAAAATCCTTAGATACGTGATTTTTGTATATTAAATTTAATTTATAAGTAGCATAAAATATTGATATACTTTTATTAGATAAAAACAAATTTAAAAATTTCAATACTTTCTTTTTTTATTTTCATTTCAATATTGCTTTTTTGTTCATATTTTATATCAACAAAAATTTTTAAAAATATTAAATATTTCAATATATTTTTAAATTTTTTTTTATATTATTTTTTTTATTGAAATAGAATATATAGCTTAAGAGTATCAAAAATATAGAAAATGATTTGATTTTTTCAATAATAAGTGAAGTTTTTTGATTACTTTTTCATTTAATTATGTGATTTCTTTTTTTATTTTTCATTTAAAATTACTTTTTTAATTTTTTTAAGTTTATTCTACTTTCAGATTGAAAGTAAGAAAGGTATGCTTTTTTTATTATTTTTATTATTTTTTTTACTCTTTAGGATCAATCATTTTAGACTGTAACTATCTAACATTTTTTAATTTTTCCTCTGTTATTATTATAAAAAATATTTTAATAATATTCGTATTTCAAAACTACTACAGTCAACTTTTGATATAGTGAACTCTTAATATAACAAATTTTTTGAACAAATATAATAAAAATACTCTTGTTATAGTGAATTGACCAATCAAATCTCTTAAAATTTTCACTATAGCCTTATAACGAAGTTGAGGTTTAGGATATAAAGTTCATTATAATAAGAATTAACTGTAATAATTATTTATAGTAATTTTACAAATGATTAATTCATCATAAGTAATATATATAAAGTAACAAAATATATCACTCTTAATATTTTATTTTATTTATTTTATTTTATTTTTTTTATAAATTCATACTATTCTTTATATTTTTATTAATCTTTATTTTTTTGTGATGTATAAATTTATAATACTTATTATTTATAATAAATTATAAATTTTTATAAAATAAATATATTAAAAAAATTTATAATTTTTAAATTTTATTAAAGATAATTGTATTAAATATAAGTTAGGGTTAAGAAAGTGCTGTATATCTAGTTACATAGTATTTGTAAATTAATAGTATAACATTAGGGTTTAGAAGAAAAGATTTGTTATAAAAGCTAGCTGCAGGCCATGTAGTCAATAGTTATACAATATTTGTGATTAAATACGTAAAATTAGGATTAGTTTATAGTATTAAAGTATATTATAATTAATATATTGATTTATTTTATTATTAAAATAAGCTATATCACGTGTATCTAAATTACATATTTAAGGATTTTTGATAGTGTTCTTAGAGTAGTTATACCTAGAGAATAGATAAATAAATAGAAGGGTTAACTCAAATATTACATAGGCTGATCAGTACTGAAAAAACTGAAGTTTTCATAAATTAGTTACACAAATAAATTTTATATTAAAAATTTACTTTTTTTTATTTTCTTAACACATATACGTAAAAAAGTAACTAATTCTAAAAGTTAAAGTCATTTATATTAGCTTTACATTAGTGAAGTTTTTCATCCAAATTAAATCACTGGTTAGATTCTTCTTTAATTTTATATGTTTTTATTATTTGATAATAGAGAGTTAGAAATTATATATATATATATATTTTTTTTGAGATCTCAATAAAAAGTTATAAATATTTTTACTTAAAATGTTTAAAAATAGTGTATTCTTATTTTATTATGTATTATTTTCAAATATTTAATATATTTATATAATTTTGAAGTATTTCCAATAGCTGATTCTCTTTTTTAAAAAATATAGAAGCGAAACTTTAACAAAGATTATAGATTTGAATAGTTTCACATTTTATTGTTTTCACATGATAATTTTTTTCATAAATCATATTGATTATCGGCCAATCTATCACTTTAAATATAAGGCAATATTACATTTTAATATAATTACTTATAAAATTATATATGGCTTCAGTCCATAATACTGTATAACCTTGAGTTGGCCCCCCGTTTATTTATCTATCCCCTAGGTTATATATGATCTATCAAATCATGTGATAAACATAATATCGATTTGTGATTGGCTAAAATTTAAGAAATAATTTAAAAACGCTTCAGACGCTCTAATAGTCCTATTACTTGGTTTATTAATCATTTAATTTTCTGTATAGATCTATAATTTTACATGTGATAAACAATCAATACTGGTATTGTAAGACTTAAGACTTAGATTTGAAAATTTATCATACTACCAATCACGATCGTTATCTTCACGGACCAATCACGATTATCATTCCTTTCACGTGATTCTACTCACCTAATTTTGTTGACGAGTTCGCGTTTAAATTCAGATAATTTCTCAAAAACTTTCGCATCATATTTCTTATTTATAACTCCTCTAAAATGGGCCATCTTGATCGACTTGAACTCGAAAACTTCAAATCGTACAAGGGACAACAGACTATAGGTCCTTTTTACAACTTTACATCGGTAATTGGTCCTAACGGAGCAGGTATAGTTAGAATTTATTTGTTTAGATTTATTAGTAATGGCTATATAGTTCGTAATTTGAGGGAGACGCGAGCATACTTTATGAAATTTTCCGATAATTTTTAATTTTCTTATTTTTAAGTGTATGTTAAATAAACTGTCAATTATTTTGATTTCAATAACAATAGTTTTTATTTTTATAACATTTTGTTATATTAGGAAAGTCAAATCTTATGGATGCCATATCTTTTGTCTTAGGAATAAAGTCTGCTCAATTACGTTCAACTCAACTTAAAGATTTAATTTATCGAGGCCGAGCTATGCAAGATGATGATGAGGAATTCCCTGATATAACGGCTATTGAGGGACGTACTAATAACCCGAAGCGAGCATGGGTCATGGCTGTATATAAGGATGATAATGGAAATGAAATAAAATTTACAAGGAGGTGGTCTTAAATTTACAAATTATTATCTTAGAATTCTATTTATATATTTATATTTAAAATTAACAAGTATGTTTATTTATTAAGTATAACAATATCTGGAACGAGTGAATATAAAATAAATAATAAAGTTGTTACTTATGCAAAATACAATTCTACTTTGGAACAACAAAATATTTTAGTAAAGGCGCGAAATTTCTTGGTTTTCCAGGTTTGCAATCAGTATTTCTATTAATTTCATTTCTATCTTATAAGTTAAAATCAACATTTTAACTAGGGTGATGTCGAGGCTATTGCATCTCAATCTCCTAAAGACCTAACCAGACTGATCGAACAAATCAGTGGGTAAGACATTATCATTAAATATATTATTAATTATTTCAGATGATTCGTTTAAATAAACCTTTTTTTCGCGTTTTTTTTTAATTTATTTAATTTAATTTATTTTATTTATTTATTTATAAGGTCATTGGAATTGAAATCCGAATATGAGCAATTAAAAGTTCAGCAAGAACGAGCAACGGAAAATTCTACATTTAATTTCAATAAAAAACGTGGCATTAACTCTGAAATACAGGAATACCAAAGGCAGAAAGCTCAAGCGCAGCAATTTGAGAAATTGCTAGCCGAAAAAGTATATATGTTTTTATTATATCTGTCAATGTTATTATTTATTCCATTATTTAATTTCTATATATTCCAGACACAAATTCTAGTCGACTATCTTCTTTGGAAATTATTTCATATACAACAAAATATACAAGAATACAAAGAAGAGATTGACGGACATAATGATGTTATAAGAAGGAGGCAAAGGGAGCAAGTATGTTGTATTATCTTATATTGATCAAATATTCGACTTAAATCTTTACTTATTAAATAATTTATGTATATAGAGACAATTTGATTCAGAATTAAAGAAGGCTAGGATGGAACAATCAGCAGTGCATAAAAAATATTATCAAATAGAAAATGCCATTAAATCTAAAGAAAAAGAATTGGAGGAAAAGGTGTTTATTTTTATATTTTTGTGTACTTAAAAAATTTTGAGCAATAAAAAGTAATAAATATATAAATATGTTAATTATGTTATAGCGTCCAGCTTTACTTACCGTGGAGGAAAAAATATTTCATGCCAGAAGAAAGTTGACTCAGTATGAACAAGATGCGGAAAGAGTTCGAAAAGATTTTGACCGTCAAGTAAGGAATTTTATATAATTCTTTGTTTTCTGAATATTTTCTCACAAATAAACGAATAATATTATTTAGACGAATCATGTTGTAGAATTGCAATCAGAACTAGATATAGTTACTAGAGCTGCAGAGCAATATGAAGGTTAGAGTTCAGTTAAACAGACAAAATGAATATACTAATTATTAAATAATACCAATTTCATCAATTTTTTTATACGCAGCTTCTTTACAGGCTGGAGGTGGCAGTAATAAAAGACTTAGTACTGAAGACATGGCTGAATATAGTAGAAAGTATAGTTTTTGTACGATGGGTATTTGGTATCATAATTGAATTTTATTCTTCTATAATTTCTCAACCTACAATCTTTTATTGAAAATTAATAGGAGGGAAGAGGCCAATAAGAAGAGTGTAAACGAAAAACAGCAATTAGAGAATGTTAGACGACAAGAAAAAACGTGTCGCGAATCAACTCACCGATTAAGGGAAAAGATGGAGGATTTAGATAGACGTCGTAAACAATTAGAGGAAGAAAAATTGGCAGTTTCTGACCAAAAAGAAAAGGTAAATTAACAATTTATATTATTAAAATTTAAACCCACTCTTAAAGTAAATTTTATTATAAATTTGGTAATTATAAAGATTGGTTCATATGTAACGCAATTACATATGGATCTTGAAGCTGCCAAGAAAGAACTTGAAGCTGCTGTTTCCGAAAGGAATTCTATAAAGTGAATATAAATTCTTACGTTTGATTGGTAGTTTTGTTAATTAAGATTTATTATTTATTTGCTAATTCATTTTAATTATGCAGTCAGCTAGAAACTCAATACAATCGAGAGTTACAAGAAACACTAAATAAACTCACTGTTGCTAGTGTGGACCAAAGAGAATCAGAACGAGAACAAAAGATGAAGGAGTGTTTAGAAAGTTTGAAAAGAGTCTTTTCGGGTGTTCATGGACGTCTTTTGGATTTATTCACGCCTAGTCAACGTAAATATGCTGTACCAGTATCTATAATTCTTGGCAGAAATATGGATGCGATTATTGTTGATCAACAGAAAACTGCTATTGAATGCATACAGGTATTTATTATTCTTCGTAAATATTTTCTGAAAAGATGTAAAATTCATTACCTTTATGTCCGCCATAACGACAGTATATACGTGAACAACGCCTTGGTCACGCAACCTTTATTCCTCTCGACTCAATTGTTGTTAAACCAATAAATGATAAATACCGAAGTTTCATGAAAGGGGCTAGATTAGCAATCGATGTCATTACTTATAATGATAAGCTAGAAAAAGCATTTCAATATGCTTGTGGGAACACACTAGTTTGTGATACTTTGGAGATTGCTAAATATATTTGTTACGAAAAAAATCAACAGGTTAAAGGTAAGCTAATAGAGATAACATGCGTATAATTTTTTTTTTTTTAATTATATTTCAATTCTTTAATTAATGTTTTTCTATAAGCTGTTACACTTGATGGTACGATAATTCATAAGAGTGGTTTGGTCACTGGTGGACATAGTGAAGACATTATAACCGGTGCAAAGAGAGTAGCAGAAAAGAGACGCGCAGAAAATATCGATGGTAAGATAGATAATTTTTGTATTTTCTAAATTACAATAATTAACTTTTTTTTCTTTTCTTAGAATTAAGGCGTCAAAGAGATGATCTTTTGTCTAAATTGAATAATTTAAGCAAATCTAAACGAAGGGGCAACTTTGAAGAACAAAAGAAAAGTGAAATATCTGGATTAGATTCTAGGTTAAAATTTGCTCAAGAAGAATTGGTAAATTCATATTTTATTATTATATCTAAATAATTAATATTTAGATAGAATATTTAATAAATTTAAATATCTAATTAGGGTGCAATTACGCGAAAACTTGAAGCAATCAATAACGAATTGAATTTTATTGCTAATGAAACTAATGGAATACAACCAAGATGGCAAAAGGTTTGTTTTATAAAATATGATATTCAATGATATGATACATTATATATATAATCTTGTATTTTTTCTTGAAAATTAGGCTCATTCAGATTTAACGAATTTTGAAAACCAAATTGCACAATCAGAAATTACAATACATAGGATTGAAGATACTATTTTTAAAGACTTTTGTATGAAAATTCAAGTAGCAAATATTCGTGAATATGAACAACGACAACTTAAGCTTGCTCAAGAAATGGCTGAGAAAAAATTAAAGTTCACAACTTTAAAATCGAGGCTTCAAAATCAGTACGTGTTTTTTAATTTATTTTAGAAGAAACGTTATATTGAAATTGATGTCTTTTTTTCCATCAAGATTGAAGTTTGAATCAGAGCAAAGGAAAGAGGCCGAAGACCGGCTAAATAAACTCGAAGCAGCGATAGTAAATGATACTAAAAGGTTAACTCAACTTGAACGAGAAAAAGAACAATTGTTGAGAGATAAAAAACTTATTTCTGATCAAATTTCTGAAATGCAGGATGCATTAAATGAAATTAAGGAATCTTTCGATGAGAAAACTGTTGTCGTTAATGAGGCAAAGAGAAAGCTTTCTCAAGTAACAAAAGAGATTGAAAGAATGATGAAAGAAATTGTAAACAAGGTAAATAAATTTCATATATACTAAGAATTATTGCGATTATTCTATTTTCTCTACTTTTATTTCCGCTTGGGAATAATTGATTTTTTATCTAATATTTAAAAGGAATCAGATATAGAAAAGCTAGAAGCAGATCAATTTTCTATCTTCCGTAAGTGTAAGTTGGAAGAGATTTGTTTACCTCTTGAAAGAGGATCGCTTGATGATATACCAATAAAGAATTCGGTATGTTTTGTTCGATTCGTTTAATTTGTTGTCTTTTATAAATTGTAATTATGACAATCATCTTTGTTCTTTAGAGGTTTCAAGATGATGATGATATGGATATAGATGAGGATGACACTTTATCATCAAATAGAGCTGAACCAAGTTCCACTGGTTGGAATGTTCAAGTTGATTATAATTCATTGATTGATGATCTTAAGGAGGTTAATAAATTTTTTTAATTCACCTCATATTTTTATTTTTGATTATTAAGATTAAATTAAAATGGGTACTTAGAATGCCGGTATTGACGTTGCAAAAGAGTTTGAAAAGAAACTGGATGAAAAATCTGCACAGATGGAAGAATTATCTCCTAGTTTGAAAGCTATTGAACGGTTGGTGATATTATTCAATTTTGTCATTTAATATACAGCATATAATTATTACTAAATTAATTGATTTGTAGATTGAACGGTATAGAACAACGTTTACATGATACAGAAAAAGAATTTGATAGCGCAAGAAGAGAAGCTAAAACGGCAAAAGATAGATTTAACTCTGTTAAGCAAACAAGGTTTGTTTTATTTATTCATATATCTATATGAATAAATACAATTTCTCAGAATCTCCTTTCTTAACAGATGCAAACGGTTCCGGGCGGCTTATGATCATATCGAAAAAAATATTGATCAAATTTATAAAGATTTAACAAAAAGTCGCAGTTTTCCTTTGGGTGGTACAGCATATCTCAGTCTAGAAGATAATGAGGTAAATACGCGTAATTACACAGAGTTTTTTATGAAATTATGAATTATAATTTTATTATTATTTTAGGAACCATATTTAGATGGGGTTAAATATCATGCTATGCCTCCAATGAAACGTTTTAGAGATATGGAGCAATTGTCTGGTGGTGAAAAAACCATGGCCGCATTAGCGTTGTTATTTGCTATACACAGTTATCAGCCGTCACCTTTTTTTGTGCTTGATGAAGTTGATGCTGCACTTGATAACACGAATGTTGGCAAAATTGCAAATTATATTCGAGAACACGCTTCTGATACGTTCCAGTTTATTGTCATCTCTCTCAAGAGTACATTATATGAAAAGGCACAAGCCTTAGTTGGAATTTATCGAGATCAGGAGGTGAACAGTAGTAGAACATTAACTTTACAGGCATGTTTTTTTTTTTTCAGAATGTCTTTCAAAATTTTATTTTAGTATGTTAAGCAACATAATGTTTTATTTTTATACTAGCTCGATAAATTTCAAGAATGAAGAACAACGAAAGAAATGTTAGATAGCTCATTTTGTTTATATTTTTAATTATTATAAAAAATATTCTTTCAATAAATAAAATAAAATTTCAAATGATTAGATAGTGTTGTTATAGCTGGAATGCTTATAGCAATATTCTGATCTTATATTTTATTCAAGAAAAACAATTTTATTTCAGTTAGAATTATAAAAGCCCAAATGTTTTTTTTTTTTTTTTTTTTTTTTTTTTTGACTTTTAACGATGTGGTACTGCCACGAGTTTATTATAAAGATTTATAGTTTTATAGGTATTAAACAAAGCAAAAAATACAAATAAGAAATCTAAAATTAAACCGCAGCTATCCTTTGTGACTCTGACTTTTCCTTCCAAGATGCCCACTAGAACCATTTCTAATGAACAATTCGTCAATGAGAAAAGCAAATGAAATTGTCAATATCATAACGCTTTTTCTTTAACTAACCACTAATTCCCTAACCAACAAAAATTTATACCCTTCAAATCAAACGAATCCGAGATTAGTTTCTGAAAAAAGAAAGGTTAAAAAAGACAAACAACCCCAAGTTTCTAGCTAAAATGCTAGAATAGTTCCTAGTTACAGCGATCCCTCACAATAGGAGCATCCAAATACTAAGTTCTCAAACTTCCATGTTGATATGTCTGTCAATTCAGATTACAGTCGCTAGCAAAAGCACAGACATAGTTGCGAAAACCAGAAAATTCTGCTAATATCGGTGGACTCTATGACGTCAGAAATCTTAAAAAAAAGTGTTGTTGTTTATGAAGGTAATTGAAAATTCATCACGTGAGATTTATTTAGCACCCGTAGCTGATCATACCCTTGATGTCCACTTATTGTAAGGAAAACAAACGAGAAAAATATTCAAGAGTAGTGACGAAAATAATATTTTAACAAAAAAACACTACCATTTAGACTAACAACGAAATATTTTTTGGTTGAGAGTATAGGAAATAAAGAGAGGAAGATTTTGAAAAGTGGAGTTTTTGTTTTTGTTCACAGGCTAAGCCATGGCCACCCTTGAACGAACATGTTTTTTACATAAAAATTCTTAGACAAAATCTAACGAGAAAGAGTTCACTACATCTACCCATAAAAGCTCAAATGTTATTTCTAACAAATAAATATGGGTTATTTAAATATAATACAGATCAAATTTTTATATGTTGGCCAGAATTACAAATTTATATCATGTGAATTTTTTATGAAAACGTTTGAAATATTTTAGCCAGAATCATTAAAATGATGAGTCATTTGGGTCACTTGCCATCACTGTGTAAACATGATTTTATTGGTTAAATTATTTCTGGTTTGAATTATCATTATTAATAAAAGAATTGATTTTAATCAATTAGAGTGTCTCTTACTTAAATTTATTACGAATTTGGTATATAGATATTTTGCAATAGAAAAAATTTCTTTATTTAAACATATGATAGTATTCTTATCTTCTTATTATAAATTAAACTTTTGTTAAAAAATTGTCATTTTCTTTATAGATAATTCTTCTAATTTTTCTATGAATTCTTATGCTTTTAAATTAAATTTAAAACCTGCTTTATAAATAATGTATTATTTTGGAAATTAAAAATAAAAAGCAAAAAAAAAAATCATTTTTATAACAATAAATCTGTATTTTATTAAAGATTCACAAAGTTATTATTTAAACTGTTAAAATTTTTTTAAGATCATTGAAACTTATTAAACTTTTAAGACCTATTAAATTTATTAAACTGTTAAAATAATTTCTAAAAAGTTTTAATTTAATAAAATGTGTTTAAAGTTTTATTTCATAATTATATATAATAGTATTTACTATAGTTTAACAAATATTATCAAAATTTATATTATATTTCTTTTTATATTTAATAATTAAATCTTTTAATTTGAAAATAAAAATATTTAGTATATTGATCTAAAGTCAAAAATCTAATAAAAAAGCTAAAAAACTATTTTTTTTAGCATTTTTTAATATTATTTTAAAAATACAATATATTAATGATAATTTTAATTTATTTAAATAAATCAATTATAATTATTAGAGTTATTATTTTTACATCAAGTTAAAAATACTTATCTTCTATAATCTTTTCTCTATTCTATTCTTATTATATTATAATCTTATAATTAAACGAATGATTTTATGTATTAAAATTTCTGATCCTTTATTAAAATTTTTTTTTTTCTTGATCTGAGGGATTTAACAAGTAAAAAAAAATATTAAAATAATAGTTTTTACTTTACTTGTAAATAAAGCAAATAGATTAACTTAAAGAACATATTATTAATAATATTATATATTTAGAATCAGAAAATTTTTAATAATTTTAAGAAAAATTAATTTAAAATTTTAAAATTTAATATTCTTTTTAAATATACCTTATTAAATATATATTTTTATTATAATTTTAAGAAGAATACATTTAAAAAAAGTTAGTTGAAATAATCTAAATACTACTTTTATTTATTTAATATTAAAGCTATTTTTTTAAATAATTGCTATCTTTTTTATTAAACTGATCTTAAAAAAATATAATGTATTTGTTAAATATTAAATTGACTATTATAATTTAATCAAACATTTCTAAATAATAAATGCTAAATTCAATTTTATTTTAATATTTAATTAAATATCCAAAATTTTCATAAATTTATATTATTTTTAAATTGTGTAAAATCTGTTATTTTGTTTTGAACTAATAGTAAAATAAATACTGTATTCTTCAGAAAATAAATATTCTCTAAAATAAGCATTACAGTCAACTCTTTTTATAACAAATTTTGATATAACAAATTTTACAATACAACAGAATTTCAGTATTAGACAGATTTTTAAATATAAAAAACCCTTACTATACTGAATTTAGTAATTAAATTTTGTATTATGTTTAACAAATTAAAGTCAGAAAAATTTATATATAAAATAACTTTTTTCATAATGAATTTTCTCTATAATGAATTTTTTTTTAATACAACAAAGTTTTACTTAAAATGAATTTTACTAGATTTATATATATAAAAATTTGTATTCTCTGTATCTAGTTTTTAAATAAAATTAAAAAATGAATAAATATTCACATTACGTATTATATTTTGTGTTTCATATTTTTTTTTATATATTTTATTTTTTACATATTTTTTTCTTTGCATAATGTCAATAATGCCAAAAGTAAACTCAAAGAAATAACTTAATCAACTTACTAACAAACAAAATGAACCTTTAAAAAAAATTGAAAGTCTTTTACAATTGCACACAAAAAAGAACTTTGTTTGAAAAAAATATCATCACCTTTTTTAAAATAAAAAGACTTGGTTAATGAATATGATATTAGTAAAGGCATGGTAAGTGACATTTTAAAGAAGAAAGACCGTTAGCTTTTTATGAATATCAATTTATACCAAGCCAATTTGAAACATAATAAGAAACTTCATTTTCTTTCATTAAAGAAGCATTAGTAATATGGATAAATAATGCACTCAAAGTTATCCTCATTATTATTAATAATATTTTTTTAATTAAAGCCTTGAGTTTTGCTTTTTTATTAAAGAAGAATAAGTTTAAAGTGTCTAATGGTTAGATGGATAACTTTAAAAAATAACACACCTTAAACAGTACTATATACACAGAAAAGTTATAAATACATTACTCAAAAATTTTAAAATAATGAGAAAGAATTTTCAGTAAATATTAAAAGAATATAGTTCTAAAGATATATTTAATTATGACAAAACAGAACTGTTTTGGAAGATAAAACTATATCAAATGATATTTAATGAACAAATATTAGGAAAGAAACAATCAAAGAATTGTGTAATGATCTTACTTATATGCAATATAATAGGAAGTGAAAAGCTGACGCCTTTGTTTATATACAAGTATGAAAATCCTAGGGTTATTAAAAATATTAATAAAAGAATGCTTCTAGTTGAATATTATTAAAACTAAAAAAATTGAATACAGGTTTCAATCTGAAACAATTATATAAAAAAACTTGATACAAAAATGAGAAGACAAAATCAGAAAATTATCCTTCTTGTAGACAATGCTCTGACATATGCTCTTTATAAAACCACTTGTCTGATTAACATTACCATTCAATTCTTTTTCCAAACACTACTGTACACTTCCAACCTTATAATCAAGGTATCATAAATAGTTTTAAGGTAAGAAATGTAATTAATTTAATAATTTTTTAGTTAAAATATAATTGACATTAACTTTATTTATACTTAATTCTAATTCAACTTATTTTAAGCATAATATCAAAAGTTATATTTATAAATCAGATCAAAATTTTTGATAAATTTAATGAATACCATATTAAACTATCTGAAATTGATATTAAAAAGTATATAAAATACATTTCACAAGCATGAGATAATGTTACAAATAAAACAATTAAAAATTGTTAGGTGAAAGCAGATATTTTACTTAAATATAATTATGAAAATGAAGATAAAACTGGTAATAATATATTACTTGAACTTAAATGGTTAAAGGAGATGAAAAAAGTTCAAGTATTAATCGATAAATTAGATTTTGATAATCTTTTTTCTGCTGAAGAATTTGTTAAGTATAATAAGTCTGAGATTACAGATGAAATAATATCTGATGAAGAAATTTTAAAAGCAGTTTTACTTGACCAAAAAGATGAAAGAGAGGAAGATTCTTTATCACCAATAATTACTTTTGGAAAAGTTATTGAGGCTTATGATAAAGTAATTTTATATTTGAAGTAGCAAGAAAAATCTCTTGACATGAAAAAGGAAGAGTTAAGGTTTTTTAAAAAGCTTAGAAAAGAAGCTTTAAAATAACAGTTTGTCTTTTCAAAACAAATTAATCTTGATAAATTTATTACTATAATAGAATAATAATTTGAAAATTATCGTAATAACGGTTAATAACGTTTACAGTTTGACTTTTTTTCACTTTTTATAGAATAAATGACATCATAGTTATATGAAATTTTGACGTATTGACTAAATAACATTTCTGTGATTATGTTAAAATTTTGTTGAAATTTGTTGAAATTGTGTTAAGAAATTACATTGTTTTTATTAATTTTTAACTAATTTTTGTTGAATTTGTATTGAAATTGCTTATTGATTTTTTTACTAAATTGTGACAAATAATTTTATAATAATTTTTTATTTATTATTGAGGTGATGATTTGTTATTATTGATCTACTCTGATTGTCTGATATATTATATTTATTAATTTGTGTAGATTATTTTTGGATTGATCTAATTTTTATAAATAATATAATATATTATTATTTTGACTTTTTGTTTATATACAAATCAGAATTTTTGATCACGAAGAGTTCTTTTTATATTATTTTAATCATAAGTTTTGCTTATTATATTTGGATTGATTTAATTTTAATAAATAATATGATGCACAATTATAATATAATGTTTATATTATTATTTTAACTTTTTATTTTAATATAAATCAGAATTTCAATCAAAATTGTATTATTTCAATCATGAGTAAAAAATTTCATAAAATATCAAATCAATGGATAAATTTATTTTAAAGGAAAGTATTTTTTATTATCATATAATTTTTCACCTTTTGAAATTTAAATTAACCTTTAAATCACTTTAATTTATTCTATTAAATCATATTTTTTTACAAATACAAAAATGACTACAAGAATCATTTAAGAGAATAATAAAATTGACTTATTAGTTGAGAAAAGAAGGAGGAGAAATGAAGAATACCTATGTAAGATATAGAGGTAATAAGACAAGATTCTGAAGGAGTGTAGCTTAATAAATCAATTAAAGATTTAATACGGTATATTCAACTCACTAATACAAGTTAAAATGGAGGAATTTAGTATAAGATTACAACGTAAGTAAATAAATGAATAATAATATAATAATAAATAAAACTTAACAGTATAATTAATATCTTTAAGATTTTTGTAATTATTGAATGAAGCGAGAAGAGGTGGAAGGTGAACCTATATTATGGAATGATTATACAATTTTTTCAGAACTCGATTCTGAAATAGCTAGGTATTAATTAAAAATATTTAAATGATTTTTTGATTATATTAAATATATTTACTTTTTTAGAATCGAGACACACTCATAGGAGAAATCATAATTTACCTACTACAAGGTAAATATAAAACATAAGGCAAAACTGTGATAAGCCTATAAGGCAAAACTGAAATAAACGACAAAATCACAATAAGCCTGCAAGGCTTACAAGGCAATAAAAATTTCTGTTTTTTTCTTATCATTCGTTTAATTTTGTTTTTTTTTTTATTTTTTCATTTCATTTCATTTTTCTATTTCATTTTATTATTTCATTTTATTTTTCTAATTTCATTTTATAGTTTCTTTTCATTTTTTTATTTTATTTCATTTTCCTAATTTTGTTTTATAGTTTCTTTTCATTTGTTTAATTTCATTTTTTTGTCTTGTCTTATTACTTAATAGTTTCATTTCAATTTCTTAATTTCATTTTTTTGTCTTATTTAGTTTTCTTTTCATTTTGTTTTTATTTTTTCTTTTATTTTATTTAATTTATTTTTTATTTTATTTTTATTTTTTTTTAAAAAAAAATTTAAGTAAATTAATAAAATTGTTATATAATGATTAACAGATTATATATTAAAATAAAATAACTAAAATTTACAAAATAATATGAAAATATTTCTGAAAAAATTATATTATAGTAAAATTATATTTGTGTAATGAAATTAGTAATTATCTACTATAATGAATTATTCATTATACATGCTGAATAATTTATTATAGCGTTAATGAAGATTTTTATAATAAAGTCCTGATCAGCTAGATTAGCAATTTCGTTATATTGAAACGTGACTGTATCAGTGATGACATATGACCTTTTATAACCTATATGACTTTGATAACTGGTCATAGGTCATTTGGTCATTTCAAAAGTTATTATGACTTTATGACTTTATGACCTATAATTTTATATTGGCATATTATATAAAATACATATTACTAATTTAATATATTTTAAAAATTCTGTAAAATAATTTTAAATGATATTTTTACTTTATTTTATTATTTTTTATTAACATATTTATAATAAATGGCTTTTATTAAGCATCAGTAAATATATAATCTGTACCTAAATAAGTTAGTAATTTTAAATTAGGAATAAAAAGTAAATTCTATGACTATTTTGCTAAATCATAATCAGCAGAATGAATAATCTGACCACAAAATTCAAAATTTGTATTTAAAACTGAAAAAAAGTTATATCATCAATATTATCAAATTGATTTTCATGATTTACATTATTAATCCATTCAGTTATAATTGAACTCTAACATTCTTCATCTTCTTTTATTAATGGTTCATTTTCATTATCACTATGATTTTTAATTAAATTCTCTTCTTCTTTATCAGTTAGTATTTGATAATTATCATTATCACTATTATCTGATTCTTCTTCTAAAATAATTGGTATTGCTATATGAAGTTGACGAATTTTCTTTTTCCATTTTGTATATGTTTAATGTTTCGATTATAAAGAATATCACTTCTAATTTGTGTCATTTCAAGAACTTTTTTAGACTAAAATAAGTAAATAAATAATAAAAATATTATTAAAAAGATGTTAAAATTAATTTAAAAATAAAAAATACAAACCTTCAGCTGATTTCTTTGATTTGTATGTAAATATCCCATACTTGACCATAATCTTTTAACTGATGCTAAATTTACACATATTTCATGTATTCTAATTGCAATTTTTGCTAACTCTGATCCTATACTACTAGTAAACTTCCAAAAATTAACTAATTAACCTTAAAATTGAGCAAATGAATCATCATCATAAGGATCTAAACCTTTTATATATTGCATAAATTTTACTAAAATAGTTTGAGATTTATGACCAAACCATACTTCATAATAATATTTTAACCACTTATTAAGATATACTATAGATAAATTAGGTGTAAATGTATAAAACTTTGAAATTTTATACAAAGGATAAAGCACTATTGAAATAATTAAAAGTAGCTATTCTTACTATTTCCAATATTTTTCCATTCTTTCAACTATTTTTCCTGAAAAATCTAAATCCATATGCTTATTAAAAATTTTATTACATATGCAAAACAATGAATTACTTCATATAAACTTGCTGTATCTTTTTGAAGTTTATTTAAAAATTCACATAAAGGATACAATAAATTTTGAAGTTCTAAAAGAGTTAATCAAAAATTATTATCATTAATGATATCTGCAATATCATTAGGTAATTTTCATTCACAATTATTTTTTTTGAAGTATTATTTAGTATTACATTTGGAATACTATTTGTACAAATTATATTTGATCAATGTTTATTGAATTTTGCTGAAATAAACTAAATAAAATAATTAATTAAATTAAATTAATTAATCTTATAATAATAATTTTAATAAAATTTAAAAAAATTACCTTTAATGTAACTTTAGTTTTTAAAATAAAATGAAAGTAGAAATAGTAGCTATTTCACCTAATATCTTCAGGTAATAGTAATAATACAGTTTTATTGTAAATTTGAGTTTGCTCATCCTTCAAATTTCCAGTAAAATATAGAGATTTATGAAATTAACTAACTATTTATACAGCTTTAATAGAAGTATGTTTATATTGAGCACTTTCTTTAAAAATATCACTAAAAACAAGATTCATTTGATGTGCTATGCATAGAAGAAATACTTTATTTAAATATTTCTTTCTTAATTATTTACTAAACCATAATTTTTAAAATAATTAAAAATAAATAATTTTTTTTTAAAAAAAAAACAAATAAATAGTTTAAAAATTATCGTGCTGCAGTATATTCACCTGCAGAATCAGTTATAAAAGCTTTTATATTTATTTCCTCATTATTTGTTTCAAATATCAAATTTTTAATATGTTGAATTACATTTTCAGTTCGAGAAGCTTCTCCACTAATATCATAAGTATTCTAAATAAGAGGTTGATCTTGCGATGTTAATAAAATAACCCCCTAGATATGCTCTGCTTTAACATTAGTCTATCTGTTAAACGTTACAGTAATACTATCAATATCTTTTTTTGCAATACTTGTAATATTTTTTTTTTAGAGTATTAGCACATTTTTTTAAAACTCTACTACTAATTGTTTTATTATTTGGTAAATTGAGACCTGATAAAATAAAATTAAAAATAGCTTGTGTATCTTCATTTTCTAAAAAAGTAAATGGTAAGCCATTAGATATGAACATACAAAGAAGTAGAAACTCAAATATTAGTTTATCATTAATAGACATTGGTCGAGTACAATAAGATGCAATAGATTGTTATCTGAAAAGTGAAGAAGTAGATGATATTGTTGAAGTACTTTTTTGTCTTTTTGGTGGATTTTGTAAATTAAAATTTTTTTCCCCTTCTTTTTCTCCTTCCTCCTATCCATCCTCCTCCTCCTCTCCTTCGTCATCAGTTGTAGCTAAATTATATATTATTAATAATAAATTAGTAATGGCAGTTTATGTTAATAAATATATTTTCTATTAAAATTTACCTTTATTATGATTTTTACTTTTTTTTTAAAGTCTTCAAGAACAGGATGGGACAAAATTTTAGTAATTTCCTTTTTACTATACGAATTTCTAAAGTTTTCATAATTTGCAAGGTGATTTTAACAATATCTTACTTTATTAGAAGTAAAACATCCAAGTGTTACTTACGTAATAGCTAAACCTCTGTCAGTTTTTTGGCTATAACAAATATATATAGCTTTGGCATTTGATTTGTTATTATCATTTTTACTAAAATAAAAAATTTCTAAAAGTTATGACTTCTCTTTTTTTAGTCATAAGAAAAATTAAAAAAAATAAAAAAATTATTACTATCTTATAATGATAATACGTTAAAGATTAACATCTGCATATTCTTTTTTAATAGTTTAATATCTTTTGCAGCAATTTTCAAGGCTTTTCTGATAAATAATTCTGACGTACTCTGCTATGTTCAAGAATCTTTAGATAGTTTTCTAATGGTTATTCTTTTTATTTTTAGATTTTCAGAATGTTAAAAGTCAGTTTCAAACTCTTAAGTCATATACTAAATAACCTAATAATTAAGGTCATAATTTTATGACTGTAGGTCATATCAGTCATATAATTCAATCACAAAATTTATGATCTTATGACATATAACCAATGGTCATATAACCTCATGACTGAAGGTTATCTAGAAATAGTAATATGATCTGGTTATTTTTCAACACTGGACTGTATAGCTTTTAATACATTATGAGTTCATTTTACTTTCAAAATATCTCTCTGGAATCATCAATGAGAAAATTTTGAAAACAATTAAATATAGTCACAAAATTCTTTGCTTTTTTAAATCTTAATAGAAATTCATCACTTGTCATACTAATCAGCTCTTTTTTGATAAATTAGCCTATCTCTTTCAAGCTATTTTCTTCTAACGATAATGATATCAATGTTGCAACTTCCTTTGTATAAAGAGAAAAGGTGTTCAAGATTAAATCACTTGTAGATGAACTTCCTAATTAGATATTAGATATTTTGATCTTTATAATAAATAGTGTTACATATAATGTAATATAAATAAAAATGATCATTACCATTTATGAAACTATTTAGCTACCACAGATATTATCTCATCTATTACTAAATCAATACAAAATCTTATCAATACCATCATCAGAAATAAATTGAAGAATAATGAAGATTGTCTTTCTTATTATAATTTCTTTTAATAAAAATTACTTAAACTTTTTGACCTTCAAGTGAATTCTAATCTATATATTATTCTATTAAAAGACATTATTTCTTCTGATTTTTTACATTTTTAAAGAAGATTTTTTCACTTTTTTTTCAAGTTTAACTATAATCAAAGTATCTAATTTTTTAATTACTGAATTTCATGATAAAGTTTAAATTTTTAGATATGTCAAATCGATAGAGATATAAACTAGTAAGTATATTAATAGTCAAAAAAAGAAAAAGAAAGTTAAATTAAAATGATCTTTGATCACTAAATATGCTGTTCAGCTTGGAAATTATGGGTTTTTATTACTTTCAATTTTGGTTTTTTTGGTCTGACTTTTTAACTTGGTTTGATATATTATTTGAATTTTTTGGTAATAATTTAATCATTTGTTTTATCTCATTTAGTTTAAAGATAGCACCTTAATTAATTGCAACAGGTAACAAATAAGTATTACAATATTGCAACAAATTGCAACATTATTAAAATTTAAGTTGCAACAGGTGACAAATAAGTATTACAATGTTGCAACGTTATCTTTAATTTGGTTTTTTTAAAGGAAAATTCTAATGATTAATCAATCTAAGTAAGTTTATAATATAACTACGAAAAATAGTCATAATTTTATTTTTATTATTTTTACTTTTATTTTTATTTGTAATCATTATAAAATAAATTAATAAATATATAATAGTATCATATCATTAAAAAAAAAAATAAAATAAAGTTTTTATGTATAAATAAAAATAAAAAATTAAGCAAATTATATAATACATATCAGCAATAATAATTTGAAGTATATATAATTAACTATAAATATAATAAATCAAATATTGGTTGATTCTTAATGTTAGATTAAATTTAAGCTTAATTAAATTGATATTTAGTTAATTTATTAAATAGTTGATTTTTTTGATTTTAACTAATGTAATATTATTAATATTAAGATTATAATAATAAAATTATCAAATGCATCAGATATGTGATAATTATACTTTAAGATTTTAATAAATATATATATTAATATAACAAATTGTTTTAGTTTGTTAATTTTGAATTTACTAATTTACCCCCAAGTTCTGATTGGCTGTTATAATCGATTATGCTTATTTATAACATCCATAGCGTGACAAATAAGCATCACCACCGAAAAAATTCCAAGTCCCTCAAAAATTTAATAAAAATTGAAACATCATCAGTGTCACATGCGTGACAAACCACCTAACCCATAACCCTAACCCTAACCCTAACCTAACTAATCTCAATTATACCAGCCAATCGGAGCTTGGGGTAAATTAGTAAATGGGTTAATTTTAGAGTCCGATTTTTTAGTAACATATACTTAATAAATAAAACTAGTGTTTCGGGCGAAACTAGTTTCGCCAATTTGATCTGCAAAAATCTTTCCAAATTTAGGGTTTCGGAGGTTTCGGATAGTTTCGGATCATATAAAAATTCTCTGGGCGAAACGTTTCGGATGTTGAAAAATAGTTTCGCCTGAAACACTAAATAAAAAAATAATTTGTAAATAAAAAAGATATTATGTTTATATATAAAATATAACATCTTAATAAAATAATATTTATTTACTAAATAATAATATTTTTCTACAAATACAGTATTTATTATAAATAATTTCTTAATTAAACAACATTTATTTTATAAAATTAATATTTATATAATCAAGATAGCAAAGATTTAATTAATAATAATATTTTTCTATAAATGAAATTCATATAAAATGTAATTGTTAAACAATATAACATCACTTAATTTTTATATATTATTTATCATAATTTATCATATTATACTCTCAAAAAAGATGATTAATCATAATATAACTTTAGTATTAGCCATAAATTACTTATTATAAAGCATATAAATAACTATATAAATATATCATCATAGCATTGAAAATTTTTTTTTGTTTGTGTAAAGGAAGTGAGAAATAAAAAAAAGGGGAGAGGAGAAAACAATCATAAAATAAAAACTTAATATCTTAAATAACGATTAATAATTAAAAAAAAAAATGATTTAAAAAAATTAATATTGAAGTTGATCGAATAAATCTTCAACCTTTTTCTTTTCGTTCTCCATGTAAATATGGTAAGAAGCTATAGGAGCATGCTGTTCATCTTTAAAATCTTTAGAATTAAAAAATCCTCTAACAAAAACGCGTTCTTCATCTTTATCGTCAATATGTCCTACAATAAAATTTGATTCGCAGATATCCATATGAATGATACCAGCACTATGAATTTCTTTGATGGCATTTAAAGCCTTCTCTTTATATCTTTGTAACAATCTCGAAGTTTTCGTAATGTGTTCGGTAGCAAAGACATATTTTTCACCTTTTAAAGTGAATCCAATATATTTTACTTGTGGGATATGAACTCCTTGTAAGGTTGAGAGCCGGTTGTATATTCGAGCTTCTTTTTCCAAATCAGCTCTCTTCCAATCATCTCCATCCGTAAACTTTGCCTCAAGTTGTTCTCCATTATATTCGACTAAATAAATGATCCCGTTCGAGGAAGTACCAATCTCGTTTTTGATGATGACTTTATTCCAATCCAAAACACCGCGAATAATAGTTTGATCATCATCATAAATACGACGCGACCCTTCTGTTATGCTTTCATCGTGACGAAACTTTTTAATTTCAAAATTACCTTCTTCGGAACCCGAATATAAACGTTTATGAGAAGGACCGGAAAAAGTTTCAGAATCATAATCCAAATAATCATCGCGAAAGTAATCGATTTCTTTGATAACAGTTGGACTTGGGGACATTAAAGGTTCGTTCTTTGATAAATGTAATAAATAATTATAAAATTGCAAGATTGTCGGATCATTATTATCATTTCTTTGACACGGGGAAATCAATAAGATTGAATTATCATCCTCTGATCTTTTCAAAAACCAAGTGCACTCATAAGTAGTTAATATCGAATATTTTAAACCTAATTCACACATGTAATCGTAGACTTCATTGATATTATCAGCAAAATCTCCTGTATTTTGTCGATAAGCTTGAATGACATCATCATCCTCTTTAAGACGAAGAACACGTCGAGTCCGCAAAGCAATCGATGCAAGAATTTGATCTTGATGGGTAACCACATTCCAATCAATCAATAAATTTTCAGTGAGTTTACTTAATTCTATATCGTCGTGGTTTAGCTTACTTATGAGAGCGTTTATGATTTGAATTTCAATAATCTGAACCAATTCTTCTTTGGTACTCACTGGTGCATGACCCAAGGTAATTTTTGGTCGCTCGTACTTTTTCAAGACGTCATCAATATTATGATTTTTAACCATTTCAGTAAAATCATTCCAATGGAAAACTTTGGAAGGAAAACGCGACTTCCCATGATTAAAAAAATCATAGTGAGTTTGGGCAGAGTAGGTAATTTGTGGCGGTATATTGGCAAATAATTCTCTTTCGGTAATAACTGGAACGTTTGGATCACGGTTGATTTTGATTTTTTTAGTTCGTTTAGACTTCATATAAACAGATATTGGACTCATGATTGCATGACGATGAAATGAAGTGGGCGAACGTGCCCTTTATATCGTAAAGCCATAGAAAAGGATTACATGTGGGAGATGAAAAATTTCCTTTTGAGATTTCAATGGCAGTTTACTTTTAATTAATCTAAAGACAATTCATGCTTTACTTGTATCGCTCAAAAGTTTAATTTAACAAAGCCATTATGATTGTAAAAGGAAATTTTAATTCATGTGTGTTTGGACTAATGCCTTTTATATTTTCAATGCAATCGAGTTAAACTTTTTTAAACGATACGAGAAAAGCATGAATTGTCTTTTAGATTAATTAAAAGTAAACTGTCATTGAAATCTCAAAAGTAAATTTTTCATCTCATTTACCGGAATATTATTAACCCTTAATATCTATAATGAGGTTCTTTCAATTTAAACTTTGATCGATCTAACATAATATTTATTGTGATCAATCTAATAATTTATTCATTTAAAAAAAAAATCTCCATTATTATAATGTATAAGAAGAAATAATAATTAAATGTAATTTAATCCTTTTTTAGTTTTTTGAACGGGTTTTTTCACTCTTATAGGTCTAGTTGATTTGATTAACGAGATTTAATTTACATTTAAGATAACGAATTCCTTATCAAGTCAAAATGAAAAAATAATTTCTTCTAAATAAATTATTATTTGTTCTCTCTTTCTTAAGGAGTTCGAAATAATAACCATTATAAACCAATGTGAAATTTACATTTGAGCACAAATCAAAACATGCAATATCATGAAACTAATCAAAATGATTTTATTGGAATTCGGAAATTACTTGTTAATTAAATAAGGAATCTTAAGTTTTTTTGTAAGGAAAATCTATTAATAAAAAAATTCCGCATTGTTCCTTAATAAAGACACAATATAAAAATT